AACCGGTAAAACCGTTCGAACCGGTACAAACCGGAAAACCGTTCAACCGGACGGTTCAATGTTTGGGTATAAAATCTTGGGAAATTTGTGTCCACCGGGATTTGAACTTGCAACCTTAGAGTTTTTGAGTTTACCTTTTGCCACCAGGACAGTGTAATGGTTTAGTCAATGAGTGCTCGAACTTTTATTTAACCCATTTAAATGCCAAAGATTTTAACCTTATTATTGATTACAAGCTTGAGGTTCGAACACTTGGTCTCCATGTTGTAGAACAACGGTTTTTCCACTTGTACACAATGTTCTTTTGTCATTTTAATGCTTTACAATATACTTATTCTACTTTGAAGCACAATTATATTAAAATTTGTTATTGGGGGAACTTGAACTCCGAATCTCCCTTATAGAAGGTCAGCCATCTACCAGTGCAACCCACCCAAACCGTGTGATATATTTTGCAAAATCATATATTTATAGTATTTCATTGAGCCGGCGGTTTTACCGGTTAAACCGGTTGAACCGTTCAAACCGCGAACCGGAGGTCAAAACGGTTTGACCTCCGGTTCGGGTTTGAAAACATTGATTTAACATTTAAAATGATTTTAATTAATTAATTAATTAATTTAAATTCAACTTTTATAATTTTTTTTAGCAATTAATTAAAAGAGTAATACATATTAATCCCAATTCTAAAAAAATTAGATTTTCAATTTATATTTAGAAATTAAAATCTTAATTTAAAATTTAAAAATTCAATTAAAATTTCACTATTAGAAAACACATTTTTTTCGGACATACTATTTCGGTCAAGCAAAAATCTTGACCGAAATAAGACTTATTTCGGACATTTTTACTGACCGAGACAAAAAATTTTCTGTTTTATATCATGTTCAACGATTAATTCGGTCAAGAATTATTTCGGTTAAGCATTTCAACCGAACTAACATGGGGGAGTTCCCCAAATGTCATCTTCGGTCAATCATAATGACCAAAAAACAATTTGGTCAGTATCATTGACCAAAATAATGCAGAAAAAATCGCTCTTTCGTTAAAGCCATTAATATAATTTGACTCGGTTTCTTTCGGTCAATAATAATGACCGAAAAAGATAGCATGGTTATGATGGGATAGAAACGGGTTAAAGTTGTAATTCTCCACTCTTCTTTCTTACTTTTTTCGGTCATTTTTATTGACCGAACCCTAGTCCTGGTTTTGATTTGATGGATACTGGTTAAAGCTGGAGGTTTGTTGATTTTTGTTTCTTTTTTTCTGTCAGTAAAACTGACCGAACTAGATGCACAGATCAAAGGTATGATGAGTTTGCAGGAAGCTTCAGCCTTTGACTTTTTTTTTACCCTCTATCTCAGTCAGTAAAACTGATCGAAAAAGTGCCTTGTAAGTATTGATTTGATGGAGGCTTCACTTTGCAGTTTTTGTTCGATCAATACCATTGATAGAAAAAATTTGGAGTGCAGCTTTTGATTTTTTCAGTCATTTCTTTTGTCAGAAAGTGAGAATATTGCAGATGATTGATAGATAGCGTGTGGGACCCACCATATTTCGGTCATGTTACTTGACCGAAATGCTGCTAAGGTATTTCCCACTCGGCCTTCTCTCACTCTCCATCATAATTGTGTTTAATTTGTTTCTCTCTCATTCCTTTCTCCTTCTCCATCAGAAACTTTCTTCAATTTGTTTCTTTCTTGATCCTTTTGCTTCTGTTTTGCTTCTCCAATTGCTTCTCCATCATAATTCTGTTTTTAAGAGGCATTTTGTAAATGTTTTTAAGAGGCATTTTGTAAATGTTTTAATTTCATCTAACTATGAATAGGTAAGAATTAATATTTTTTTCTTTTTTCTTATTAATTTATCTTTAGTTTTAGATAATTAGTTTAAATCTCGTATTTGCCCCCTTTTTTTTTTCTTTTACTCATTATTTTTCTTTATTTTCATATAGAATTATGTAGGATGTAGTATTTTTCCTTTTTTCTTTTCTTGTACTCACTATGTATCTTCATTTGTGACTGGATTATTATTAAGATCCAACATTTTCCCCTTTTTTTGTTTTTTCTTTGGTTAAAGCCCCTTTTTGGTCCCTCAACTATTGTATGGACCCCCGATTTGGTCCCTGAACTAAAAAAATTCCTGATTTGGTCCCTACTATTTACCATTTTTACCCCGATTTGGTCATTTTCTGATAGTCTGCACTTGTTTAGACTTGTTACTTGAATAGAATTTTGTATGCTCTTTTGCCACAATTGTAAAATTTGGAGAGTTGCAAAGATCTTTTGTTATTGATCCTGTTGGTCTCTACAGCATAGCTGGTTGAGAAATTTGTTCTGTTTGTCACATGACCAGTGGAAGATGGGCAAACCCTCTACGTTGTAAGAGATTCAAGGCTATTTTAGCAAATGTTGTGTGTTTTCTAGATGCGTTTTAGGAGCTGGATAACTTGGTAATTTCGTTGCTCATTATCTTTCTAAAAGTCTTATAGTGAAGTTTCACTTTTTCCATTTGGAGCTTCATGGTCTTTTCATGTGGCTCATTTTTCTATATTGGTTAATCAAAAATAGTGATCAATTCAATTGAAATTGCCTTGTTTTTGTGAAGATTGGCAAGCTATCATAAAGTTAAACTCTCTATTGTTGCTAATCTCTACATTCTTGATACCTGGAAATTGCTTGAAACTCTTGAAATCCATCTTGCATCTTTTTTGAGATTGCTTTGTACTTATTCTTGAAACTAAAATCCAAAGGAAATGGATAATGATTATTGAATTCCTCATTATCTTGATATTCGTCTAAAATTAATTCTTGCACTGTTCTTGGAATCTATTTTGAATTGTCCTTGAAAACCATTCTTGTCCTGACCCTTGCTCTTGTTCAAATTCTGTATACTGCTCTTGCGCAAATCCTGCATATTCTGCTAGTTCTTGTTTTAGTATATCTGTTGATCTTCTTGATTTTTGATTTTTTGTTCATATGGACACCTCTTTAGGAGGGGTGATGATTATTAGAAGATAACTATATGAGGCATCCTCATTCTTGTCTCTTGCAAGTGTTAATCTTTGTATTCTTGATGTCTTAGCTTTGACTTGACTTTAGGATGACTTGATTGTAAATCTGCTTAGCCTTCATGGGCTACGAGGTGAAAGGGTAGTCTTTGAAGTACCTGATGCCCTAGAGTTTGGTTCCAAGAGAAATGGTTCTTTATCTGGTTGCTTTGATTTTTGTTTGCCCTTTTAATTAGAAGACAGTAATCTTCTAAGTATCCTGATCCCCACTATTGAGTATTCTGTTAATTAATTCCTGTTACTTGGGGTGCTAGATCTTGACATCCTGGTTATATCTGCTCTTGAATTTGTGTTCTGGCTGTCATTATTGAAATCTCTTTTGTGGGCCTAATCCTTCAATTCTATTGCTTGTTTCATGGTTAACTCTTGCCTCTTAATTTTGACTGCTTGGTTAAATTGATCTTGATTCTTGGTGAATGCCATTTTGTTGCTAAATCTTTTAGGCATTCTACCTTGCACTCTTATGTTTCAGTATTCTTCCAAGCATTCATATTTTCCACTGTTTTCATTCTGATGCTATTCTGGAAATTTCACATGTCATTTGATGGGTCTAGCTTTTAACTCTTGTTAATTGCTAAAATTTGTTTCTTGATTCTAGTTGTTTTGTTAAACATGATCTTACTTATTGGTTAACCTTGTTTTGTGGCAGAATGTATAAGGCATCCATGCACTCGTTCATTCATTCATGATCCATATATCCATTGGATGCTTATCCGTCTTTGATAGAGTTCAAAGTTTTGTTGTACTTATCTTTAAATCCATGCCATTCTTGGCCAACTCGTCTTGTGTTGGGTTCATAGCGTAACCCCACAACTGTTCTTTTGTAGTCTTGGTAGGATTTATTTTATTCCTTGTGCTTCCCATATCACCTCAGCCTCTAATAGCTTATTTCATGGTAAATCCTGTTAAGTAGTTAATGTTCTGCTTTTATGATTAGTTGTGGTTTGATATCAAAGTGGCATAGCGGAAGCGTAGTAGGTCATGTTCTGTTTATAGGAAGTTGATGGGGCATTTGTTTTGCCTTGGCTTGTGTGAAGCCATTCACCACTCGAAATGATCCTAGATTTGAGTTTTGGGGACAAAACTCCTTTTTAGGAGGGGTGAATGTAATATCCCAAATTTCTGAAATTCTAGCATTTAAGTTGAGGACCTTTGTGTGATAAAATATTATTTTGGGGCTTATTAGCTAAAATATCCAAATTTGAGGGACTTAAAAGAGGAAAGAATTTGGATAAGGATTAGCTTTTTTTTTTTTTCTTTCTCCTTTTCCTCTTTCTTCTTCAGCCCGATTCTGCTCTTGTTCTTCATCCCCGACAGCCCCCCAAGCCCCTCCAGCCACCAACTTATTTCTTGAGAAAATTGGTGACAAATCTTGAAATTTCTCCTTCTTTCTTGCTCAATAACAAGTTTTCGGACTTAGAACTCTCTCCCTCAACCCAGAAATTTCAGATCTGCTTTGCTCTTCCTCCCCTGTCCGCCGATGCTGCTAGGCACGAATTTTAGGGCTTTTTTTCAATAAGAATAGCCATGAATCTCCCTTCTCTAGCTTTAATTGGCTTGGGTTTACTCTAATTCCTCTTGGTTTCTCCCAATTTTTGATAGATTTCTCGAATTCTCCCCAAATTTCCGCTGGCCTTCCCCAATTTCCGCTGACCTTCCCCAATTTCTGGTATGTGACAGCCCTTTGAAGCCTAAAATTATCCATTAGTTGCTGAATTTAGTCCATGAATTACTGCCCCATGTGCTGTCTGAATTTTTGTTGAATTAGGAGGATGAATTCTGGTAGCTTTAGGACAAAATTAAGCATTAATTCAAGTGAAATTTATGTGATTGAGTGTTAAATGACTGCTGTGAGATTTTGGAGGAAAAATCCCATAAGATTAGCTATGGTTTTGCTAATTTTTGGAAGTCGCAGTTACTGTTCATTGCGTAATTACTGTTTGTGGGTACTGTTCATGGGCACTGTTCACGCACTGATGGCCAACAATTAACGGGGATTAAATGATTAGTTGTAATATAAAAACAAATTTGGAGATGTCTGGTCATGTGGAAACTGATAGAAATAGCATCGTGATTAGAGGTAGTCCTAATGATGATTTCACTTTGAATTTGTGGTAGTACGATATTAATTGTGGAATATTTTGGTTAGGTTCTTGATTATTCTACCACCCTAGCACCTAGAGTGAATTTTCTATGTTATGTGAGTGAGGTAAGTAAATTATGATAACGCCCTCCGAATTTAAAGGACATTTTAGCTTGTTTTTGAAGTGGTGGCGGGACTAAACCTGTTTTACACAGGTATGATCGATTTGAAATGAAATTATTATTCTTTTATTGATTTGAGCATGTCCTCTTGAAGTTTACTTAACTGCCCTGATGATCTGGAAATTATTTTTGAATTATGATTTTCCTGTTAACTTCTGCCTGGTTTTGTCTCCGATATGGTCATGTTATTCGTGTGCCCGCTAGTGGGAGGTTTATAAACGCTAGCACATGTCGACATGTTACTAATAGAACCGGTTCGTTTCTGTTATCCTGCTAGTGGGATTATACACTAGTAAATCGTGTGCCTGCCAGTGGGAGGTTTATAACACTGGCCGTGACCTATAGAAGAGACGCCTATTTCATTTCCGTACTTATACCTGTTTTTCGTGATTATACTAGTTGGCATGCTATAAGTTTAATTAAGGGCTATCCATATTTACTTACTGAGTTATCTCATAATTTTTCCTTGTCCACCATTTCAGGAAGCGAAGTCAAGGATAGGGAAAAACGAGGGGAGTGATGAGTTAGAAGGCTAGCCACCTGTAATTTGATATAGATTTTAGATATAGATCATGATCTTATAAGTTAGACTTTATTTGGAGATTTTATGATATCAGAGCAAATTTTATAATTTTATGTTCAGATTTTGTGGTATCAGATTGTGGTATGATAAATTTTGAGCCTTGTGCATTTGTGGGACCCTCTCACAAGTGTATGGCGTTTGCCACGTCCCCGGATTTGGATTCTGGGGCGCGACAACTTATGTGGACAATTACTGACTACCCTGCATATGGCATGTTATCTGGATGGAACACACATGGTAGATTATCATGTCCGTATTGTCAAGAAAATTCTAAGGCATTTCACCTCCCAAATGGTCGGAAGATATCATTTTTTGATTGTCATCAGCAGTTTTTACCCCCTGATCATCCATTCAGAAAAAATAGGAATGATTTTAAAAAAGGCCATGTAGAGAATGATGCTTCACCAGAGAGATTGTCGAGTGATGATATGTTCCGACAAATTCAGCAGTTGCTTGATATACTATTTGGGAAGTCATCCCAAAGGCAGGTGATTGAAGGATTTTGTGATTGGCATAATTGGGTTAAAAAAAAAGTATCTTTTGGGAGCTTCCTTATTGGCGTACAAACTTAATCCGTCATAACCTTGATGTCATGCACTGTGAGAAAATTTTTTTTGATAATATCTTTCACACCGTCATGGATGACTCATTGATGAAGGACAACTTGAAGGCAAGGATGGATATGGAATTATATTGCAATAGGCGAAATCTTTGTATACCAGAAACAGGTACTAATGCAGATAAAAAACCCACAGCCACTTATGCCTTGAATAAGGAGCACAAAGAATCATTGTGCCAATGGCTAAAGAATCTTAGATTTCTTGATGGTTTTGCATCCAATATCTCTCGGTGTGTGAATATGCAAAAGGCGAAAGTTAGCGAGATGAAGAGTCATGATTGTCACATATTCATGCAAAGTCTCCTTCCAATTGCATTCCATGATTTTCTCCCAAAACAAGTTTGGGAAGCAATTACAGAGATCAGTGAGTTTTTCAGAACCTTATGTTCTCTAGCCATTTGTGTTATAGATATGGAGATTTGGCATACAAAGATTGTAGAAACAATATACCAACTTGAAAGAATTTTACCTCCTTCTTTTTTTGATTCAATGGAGCATCTAGCAATTCACCTTCCATATGAAGCCATGGTGAGGGGACCAGTGCAATTCCGTTGGATGTATCCATTTGAGAGGCATTATTAGAATATCTAATTTTTTTATTATTTTATATATATAATGTAAAACATAATTTTGTTGAATTATTATTAATTATTATAAAATCTTTTTCATGAATTAGACGAATGCATGGATTGAAGGATTCGGTGAAAAATAAAGCCAGTCCTGAAGGATCAATATGCGAGAATTACATAATGAGTAAGATCTTATACTTTATCTCGCTTTTTTTTTAAGGAAAAGTTGAGACGAAAGGTTATCACATACCCAGAAATCTTGTTGGCCTAGGTCTTTCTGTTAATATTGGCCTTTCAGTATTTAATAATCTTGGAAAACCAATTGATTCTCTACAACAACAGCGAGTGTTGACGACGGAGGAGCGTAATGCTGCAATGTATTATGTTCTAATGAATTGTGCAGAACTGAAGGGATGGATTGAGTGAGTGCATTTTCCTAATCCTTATCCTTAGCGACCTTTTGAGTAATGAAATGAATTGTGAAAATTTACACATAATTATAATGGTTGCTTGATTAGGGTTTTTAAAGAAGAAGAATGTCAAAATATGACTCCCCAACAAATACATATGAAACGTTCCAATTGTCTTGTGTCATGGTTTGAAAAATCGATAACTTCAATCTCATTTATTTTAATTATTATTAGTAGATTATTATATACTAATAATAACTAATAAAATAACTAATAAAATAACTCATATGATATAGGTTTTACGTGATTAGTTTGAGGGCATTGATAAGCATTTGATTGGCTTGGCTCGTGGCTCTTCTTGGATAGTTCAATGCTATAAAGGTTTTTGGGTAAACGGTTTTCGATTTCACACTGCCTTATACGGAAAAAACAAGAAAGCAATGAATAGTGGTGTATGTGTCCCGGGAACCATAGGAACAAATTCAGATTTGGATTTTTATAGGTTGTTGCAGGAAGTTATTGAGCTTCAATATGTTGGCTCCAGACATCGGCAAACGGTTGTTCTATTTAAATGTGATTGTTATGAAATTCCTCCTGCACGAGGAATTGTGGTTGACCGAAAACAGCATCTTGTTGATATTAATCCAAATAAAAAATTGAGAATTTATGAGCCTTTCATCTTAGCAAGTCAAGCTAAACAAGTGTATTACACTCCATATCCATCACAAAATTATGTTAGAAAGGGATGGGTTGTTGCATTGAAATGTAGGGCACGAAGTGTTATTGAGATGCCAGATCAA